GTTCCGTCATAGAAAGAAGCCGCTCCATTTGGTTACTATTAGGACGTACGCCTGCCCTTGTACCTCGGAGAATGTTCCCTCAATCTTGCCACCTACCAGATAGATTTTCGTAGCGTGAAAGGATGATCTGAAAGTTTTTTTTTAACTTTATTTTTGAGATTTTTAGCCGTAGGCTAGTTCATCTCGTCCATGAAAGGGGTGGGGCCTCAGAAGGAGGACCCCCAACAGAGTGGTTTTTTACAGTGTTTACTTCAACCGAAAATTGGTTCCTGGGTCGATCGTACATTTACACAACATAGGTATTAAAGACGACACAACATTAAAATCTAAATAAGACAGAGCTCCACACCGCGGGAAACGGGAGGGACCCCACCAAGCGAAGATGCCCCGAAAGGAATTTAAAAAGACTTTGACTTTGAATTCAACTGAATTGAATGCGAATTGAACGTGTAAACCATGCCATTCAACTGACTTGTTCAACTCACTTGAATTGAAAAATGTTGAACCAGGCTCAACTTTTCAAGCCAATTGATTCAACTGACTTGATCAATTGACTTGCCCTGTCTAAACACAGCTTTACACTCTTTGCCTGCAATCAGATATCCAAGTGCACAGCGAGAAATGCACGCTTCCCAAGTAACATTGACAGTTTTATCGAGGTTTTATAGTATTCTTCAAGTCTAAATCATGATCTACAGAACCCTCATAAAACCCAAATTGTTACTTGGGTTTAGGCACCCATACATCACAAATGTTCTTCTAATTTAAACTCACACATTCAAACCGGTCTGCAAGTACGATAACGTCCAAAGCGTACCAGACTGCTGTTTCCGTGTTGCTCCAGTTTGACGCGTGACTGCTGAAAGTTTCAATTACAACTAGTGGTGCAAACCGTCATTTATTGTGGAAAATTTGTGGCATGTTTCAAGAGGTGATAGAAGGTCTGCTTGGCTTACATCAGGCATTTGACCATTCACAAACTTGCCACCCGCCACCCAAAAAAGCTCGCTTTTAGGTGCACTATTTAACGAGTTTTGTCATGGTAGTGATTATCGACATGCTTAGAAATCAATGCATTAGGGATTAGGCAGACCATCCGAACTGAATTTAATCCTTTTTGAAGCAAATCAAGGTCGAAGATTTAATTGAGCCACACTATAGAATAGTGTATTCATGGTCACTTGTGGTCTGGCGTAAAGAAGTACAGCTATAAAGTGACCATAAAATCTATAAAAATCTGAACGCATTTTTTTTTAAATTATTTAGACCTGTGTCGTGCACAGGTTGCACATGTGGACGCGACGCCACTGTTAAAATACAATGCAGCATCCTTTAAAAAGCGCATTACTGCTGCCAGTGTGGAGGGATCATCACCCAGCATGTCGGGTATGCTATTTGGAAGCCCGTGGAATTCCCGCAGGTTCTGATACTGAGGGCATACGCATAGAATGTGCTCGATTGAGACTGGAGTTCTACAACCGACGCAAGTCCTGTGGAACGGCGTTCCACCGAAATTGTGCGAGATCTAGGTGTGACCGGTCCTCAAACGCGATGCTGGTTCAACTGTTCTGCCCATTTCCTCGTCGTCCCTTTGATCCGTCTGATGAAGAGGGAGCGGTTTTGGGCCCACTCTGCGTCCCAAGCTTCCCGTACTTTGCCCACGATCCACCGCTTGACATCGTGTACCGGTACTTCGTTGGTGTAGCGAGGGGCAGATGGTCCTGCCCCAGCCAGAAAGTCAGCTTCAGAGATGCCTGGTATTCCGCAGTGACCCGGAACTCAGCAGAATACCGTGTTTGGTGGTGCGGACTTCATCGTCGTTTGTAGCCAGGGATGAGTCGGGACCTCAGGTGACAGGGCTTGTATGACGCTGTACGAATCCGTGAGGACCAGGATCGGTCGGTCGGAGAGCGTTGTAGCAGCGATGAAGATGGCAGCAGCTTCAGCAGAGAAGACAGAACATTGCGGCGGTAAGCTGCAGCTGGTTGGTGTGATGTTTCCGGCTAGAACGATACCGACCCCGGCCCGAGAGCGAGGTCCGTCCGAGGTTTTCTCCTAACATTTCAGCTACAGTCCTTTTCATGGCTACGGAATTGTCTCCGGCCGGGGTGAAGACGAACCAGCCCAAAGCTAAAAATCTCTTTAAGAAAAAAAAAATTGTCTCCTGCTTTGAACCTGTCCTTAATCCGGCTTTCGATTTTCGGTAATGGTGTTTGCCAGCATTTGTCTCCATGCCGGTGGACCCTGGCCACTGGGGGGAGATCTTCGTTGGCAGCCCTCGTCGAGGAGGAAGATCCCTTGATTTCCGGATGTCTTCGAAATGAAAGCAGCGGCTTTGGTTGCGATAGCTGCGGTTATACGGAAGTGGATGCATGCAGCGTCAGCGGGCGTGGATGGCAGCAGGCCAGAGACAATCCGGACGTAGATGTTGTAGACTGGTGCTAACGTAGCTAAAAGCTTATCCGTTGCGATGCAGGTCATCTCCAGCCCGTATAGAAGGCGACTGTCGATAATTGCACTCGCCACGTGAAAACGGATGCTGCGGTTGTTCGATCTATTCTGCCGGGAAATGGTCCGGATGAGATTCACTCGGCTGCGGCAATTTTTCTTGACTGCACTGAAATGCTGTTCAAAGTTGAGGAATCGGTCAACGAGAACTCCCAGAGCTCGGACGGTCGTCTTCAGCGGTATGGACTGGTCGTCGATTTTGATCGGTGGTCCGCTAATTCTGTGTCGAGAAGGGCAAACATGGCACCTGATGCTTTTAGAGGCTGATAATTCAAAGCCTACTGAGTGGGCCCACCTGGCGACGGCAGAGACTTCCGCTTGGGCTCTCATTCTTGTACGTACTGGCGTAAGTCCGGTGGTGACGATGAGGATGTCGTTGGCGTAGACGAACACAAATATGTTCTTCGGTAGTTGACGGAAGACTCCGTTCCTCGCCACGAGGAACAGGGTAACGGCGATAACCGATCCTTGTGGGACACCGTTTCCTCGTGGAAAAGCCGGGATTTGGTGTTGCCGACTGCGACTCGGAATGAGCGGTTGAGATCTGATCTGAACTGAAAGTTTCTTTCCTACCGCAGGTTCCAACTTTGCCATGATCACGCAAATCAACAACGCCATCGGGTAGGGTAAATTCTTCCCTTCCCGATAGTGCTCTTGGTTTGCGTGGGCGTTCTTCGGTTCGCGTGGAAAGGACCTAACAAGTTGTTGGTAAAAGTTGACAGGCCCTTTTCTAAAGTTACGCGAGCATGTGTTCATGTGTTCATTTTTAGTAAACAGGGCCTCGCTGATGTGTCAATTTTGTTTCAGTAGATGAACATCTACATCTTGTCTATATTAGAACAACTGGTTTTTAATGACTAGGACTATCAGATCGTGCAAGAAGAATGATTAATCTTGAAATAAATTCACGTTGAAATAGTTGAAAATAGTGAATGATTTCGTGTAAGCATATATGCATATTACAGCCATTCCATAGCAAAACGATATAATGGTTCTCAGAATTTCGTAGCTGGGTTCTATTCCCCACCCGGTCTAGTAATGTCTCGCGTTAAACAATTTCTCGACATCCCTGGGCATATGATTGGCCTTACCACGCAATTATATACTAACGCAAAAATGGTACAGACTTAGAAGCTCTCAATTAACAACTATGGATGGAAGTGATCAAAGAACACGTTGGAGGCCTACGTAAAGTTCCAGTAGGGATGCAATAAAGCCAAAGTAGAACAAGATCTTACTTTCTAATGCTTCACTGATTTTAATCATTAGCCGATTTTTTGAGATCAGTGTGTGTGGTCTTGTCAAGACTAGCAAAATAGCGCCCGTTGTCCAACGATATATCCCAACCTAATGAAAATCTTCGCTAAATGGCTCTAGTGGCTCAAGCCACTACTACTTTGCTGAGAAACAGCCATGTCAACACTACAATATTTTTAGACCTCTAAAAATCTAACAATTTGCAAGCAAAATTATCAGTTGAACGTTTGTGCAACTAAATGAAATTTGACCACAAACCTCAGACACTCAAATATGCCTAAACGAAGATTTTTTCCTTTTTACAATCGAACGAGGCGAGTCACACTGACCAGAAATTAGTTCCATCAGTTTTTCTCGTTGAATTTGCTGCTTGTCAGCAGTTAATTAGCTTCGAATTGTGATCGAGTTTTGATTTGGTTTTGATGAAATCATAAAGTGCAGGTAAAAACGTAAATCGTCACTAGATATAAAACTTAGGAATCACTAGTTTGAAAACAGTCGTGGTAGTAAATTCTATCGTTGAATCAGATGCTATTCAACAGCGTCGAAGATAACAGGCAATATCATCAACAGCTGATAAGAAGCAAGTAATTAATAAAAGAAGAGACCTCTACTTTTCTTTCAAAAGGGCCGATGTCGCAAACGTAAGCAATTACTTGCGACATTGGCCCTTATGAATGCTCACTGACGAAACAACAAAATGACCTAAACCAATTGAAGAGGGCAAACGATTGTTCGACTGCTACTGAGCTATACTAACAAGAGCAACGTCACCGCATCAGTACTGTTGCTCAGCTGATAAGCGATATTCTACCACACACAAAAACTCACACGCACACACTAACATAAAATGAAAAACTCCATCAAACGAAAGCTAGCTAGGATAGCATACCCTTAGTTCCTGTCCGGATGTGCGCCCCCCCACACGCGAGACAACCGACCGTATCCGATGGTATGTGCACGAAGAACAGGTGAATCGGTCCGGTGGTTGGGTGGAGGAGATATACGATTTCAAATGGGTGACGACGGCGAGGTCAGGGGGACACCAATACAAGTTGACGCATGGCCCGTGGCAATGTTTTGATTTTTGGCGTGGGAAGAGCAATTTCCACCAAGGACAGGACAAGAAGAAAGCACAAGGAGAGACGCACACGTGAGAATTGCTATACGTTGTGTGGTGTTGGCGGTGGCCAAGCCAGTCAAAGGGAATTTTGTGTCCTTCCGCGGAGGCTTACCTGCAGTTCGGCGGTGGAAATCTGTGTCATCGCTGCAGGACTGCTGGCACCAGGCGCCGCATTGTTGTTGTACTGGGCTCCACTCGGGCTGTAGGCCGGAACGGCCTGTGTCGAAGGCTGCAGGGTGGCAGGCTGTCCAAAGTTGTTCTGTGTTCGCTGTTGATTCGCTTCGCTCGAAAACGGATCATAATCGTCCAGGGTCTGCTGGGGATTGGTGCTATTGCGGGTTGCTGCCTGAATCGAGGGATCCTAGAACAAGTGGCGACGAGAAGAAGAAAGCCACAAGAAAAGAAAGAAGCCTTATCAGTGTCATGTTCATGCCATGTTCTTACAGAAAAAAAACCTATCCGAATGATGTGGGGAACCCCTTCCCCCGGGTAAGGGAAAAATGAATCACTCACTTCTCCCTCGATGGGATCAAGAAGAAAACCACTTCGTCAGCAAAAAAAAACTCGAACACAATCCAGCACTTACCGCAAATGGATTGTCGACGATTGGCTCGCCGAACGGATTATCGTCAAACCCGGACATTATCAAGCGATACTCCTACTTTGTTGCCCTCTTTTCAACTTTAAAAAGGAACCCTCAACGCACCGTTATCAGTAGCACTTTTTGACTTGGAAACTATTTTTTTTATGACTCCACGACTGTCACTCTCTCGGGGGGCCACCTCTAATCCCCGCGCGATGGCCTACGTTCTATTCTGCGATATGAACACAAACTTTATCCACTTTTTTCACACGCAGTTCACTTTTCCCGGGGTTTACTTCAACTGCACTCGATACTGCCAGCGATCGGCTTCACGACAGAGTTATTTTCAGCGCTTCCAGCGTTTAATTCATGCCCGAAATATGCTTCCAGATTTCGCATGCAGCCGAAATGGAAAAATTTTCACTTCACATCACATCACCACAATCTTTCTTGGCTGCTGGCTGTCGTCGTCGTCGGTTTTCACCACGGCGCATTGGCTCTTTCTCAGAGTGGCCAGATTATTTTTTTCATTATCGGTAGCTTCTCAAAACCTTTATCGGTAGTTATCGGTAGGTCGACTTAAGAAGGCTTTCCCGATACTGGAAACTTTTGTGAGCGGGGGGGGGGGGATGACTCTGTGCTCCAGAACAATACACTGTCCTTCAGTTCTTCTGCTTTAAACGTGTCGAAATCAATTTTTCTATTTAGGTATAATCTAAAAGTCTGTAATTCTCGGTAGGAAAAGTGAAAAATCGGTAGTTTTGAACCTTTCGTCTGTGAATCGGTAGGCACCCCGAAAATCGGTAGGACTACCGATAAATCGGTAGGTCTGGCCACCCTAGTCTTTCTGCTCTCTCTCTCTCTCTCTCTCTCTCGTCGTTGTCTCGCACATATTCACCACGATAGTAAATTTTGACATAATACCGTGGACCCCCACACTGAGCCAAATCACCCTCCATTTATAGAATGAAACATCATTCAGTTGTAACCAATTTAAATTTTTCTGAAAACCGTATCACCAACAATCAATACGAAACTAACGATTTTAAATTGGCTCACTACTTGACTAGCCTATTGGTCCCAAGCAAACGATTAACGTACCCCATTCTAGTCGAAATTCTAGTACTACGCAATGTTTGTTTTGATTCGCTATGAAAGTTTGACAGATAAAATTAGGTTTTTCCTATGTTTCGAGGGGTGAATCGATTAGCTTGGGACCGAAAAGAGTACCAGAGCTGAGCCAAAAAGTTGAGCAAGTTATTTCGGGACCTTCTAGTCTTAGAGTTACCTCTATGGTATCACCCCAATGGGTTCAATCCCAGTCGAGGTCGGTGGGATTTTTCTGAGGCATAACAATCTCTGGTTACGTCTTCCTTCGGAAGGGAAGTAAAGCCGTTGGTCCCGGCCCATGTGTGTTGTTGAATGGGTGCGATATCCTACGCAGGTGTGGAAGCTGCCTTCCTGCACATTCGATTGCCATCAATGGATGGCAATCGATGTCCGTCGGTGATTGGCACTAGATTGCGGAACAGAGACCGACGTTAAATAAAGGAAAGAATGAAAACCGTATGACAAAATCAGTCGGATGATTTTCTATTCAGAAACGTGTGCTGCAGGGGGTAAGTCGCTCTGCCACATTGTGCTAACACCCACAGAAACACACTTCGACACACTTCAAGCACCCTTCCGCCACATGACAAGCAATTTTTTAATCAATTCTGGCACCACTGCAAATAATGTTTACATTCGATTGTTATTTTCAAGGTGACTATATATAGGTGTTCTAATGTGTCAAATTCATGATTCAGCCATGTTGAATTTTTGTATGGGACTCGTTGTCGGAGTTTGTTTACAATTTGAAAATCGTACCGTCCTGCCTTGACAGAAAAAACATTCTTGATCTGGATTGAAAACCTCCAATCCAAAGAAAAGGAAATAAATACTAAACCGGTTGGGATCCACGAAGAAGCGGCATCAGAATGCTAAAAAAAAAGTAAACCTGTAAAGATGTCTTGCAAGAAAACCAAGACCAACGCAACGGACGAGTTTCTGATTGTAAATACTAGGTTCTCACCATTTTTTTTTTTAAACTTTATTTAAGAGAAGGTTCTCACCAGCGGCAGACCAATCACGGCCCCTCCAATTAACTACTTTATTCGAGCACCTAAAATGACGTTTACTACCACTCGAACATTGAAATAAAACCTCGGATTTTTTCTTCTAGAACCTCGAGAAAACGAGCGAACATTTGTGCGTTTCATAAAAATATAAATTAGGGTTACGGTATGTAATGTGGGTCTAGTCCTTTCATTCGGCCTATCACGCAAATAAATAATTAATTAAGGAATATTACACAAAAAATAAGGAAAATATTGATCACTGATGGTTGATAAATGTGTACCACACACAAATCAATTTATATCACAACATTTCAATACATTTTCAGCTCTCGTAAGTAATAAAACTGGTTGAGAATATCACAATGTTCGGAGTTTTTAGCCGCCATGACTTATAAGGTTAAGATGGGAAGGTTGACTGACGATCATCAAATGGCCTGATTATGGCATTTATTGATTGGAATTACCTGATAATACACACTAGACGTAAAACTTACAGTTGCTGTTTGAATATTTTATGTTTATTTTAATTGTTTAACAACGTTTTCACAAGTAAAACATGGACCCAACTTTAGGGACACATTTCTTTTCTATGTTCCTAACTATGGCCCATGAAATTCATTTGACAGCATATAGCAATAAGAGTAACGTCAACAATGTTGTTTTGCATTTGGATGATAAGGAACGAACAGGAAGGGAGATTTTTTCTGCCAAACCTGTATAATGAACATCACAATGTTCTGATTTAGATATTCTGCGGTCAAAAGACGATAAGCGAAATTTTTAATTTTTAATTTTTAAATTGAGTGATTTAATGTAGTTTTCGTAAAATTTTCTCTAAGAAATGTTTTGAGGAATGAAGAGCATTAAGTTAACAGTGATAGTGATAAAAAAAAATACATCAGAAAACGTTACCAAGAGCGTTTTTTTGAGGATCAAACAAGATAGGACGAAGTTGCATCCATAAATAGACCCAATTTGGGGACAATAGACCCATATTACATACATTTCCCTCGTGAGTTATTGTCTTAAAAAAAGTAAGTTTTTCAACTTTTCGTGGTTTCTGATAGCAAACGACATGATAAGCATATCTAAGCATACCATTTAGCAGTAGAATATCGTTTGCAGGTAAATTCATTGATGAGTTATGATTAAAAACGTAATCGATGGCTGCATATTAGACCGAGGTTAGGGACGTATACCCTATTTGGTCCAGTTTTGTGAAACCGCTGGTAGAAAGTCACGCCAAAACTGCTTGACAAAGTGTTTAATTAATTGCAAATGCACCCTTTGCTTGACCCTTCTTCTCGGGTGTCACGTACCCATTCGTCTTCCTCCTGCAGCGAGAGGACCAATGCCCGTGCCCGCTGCTGATTAATATTCGATCTCTACAGTTACGAAACGCTTATGGAACTCTATTACTGATTCTGACGCAGCAAGTCAATGGTATATAGCTGGCGGTCCTTTCCTTGTCTTACTCTGATATCCGGTGCTCTGGGCTGCGGTCTTTTTAGCTTCAAATAATCCTCCTGCCGGTTGTGATATTTCTTTAAACAAACAACAGCAAAGGAATCGCAAGGGGGTCTGTCATTTTCAGCGTTATGTTATGATTGAGGATATGGTTGAGAGTAAATTTATTTTTTCTGTTGAAGTTAAGACAACTCCGTCAATACAATGAAGCACCCAGAAACACCTTCCGGCACCCAAAAACACACATGAAACACAATAAGCACAAACACAAGGTGGCAGAGTGACTTACCCCCTGCATGAACCCGCATGTAAAAGTTATGAATTGGTTCGTGTCTGATCTATTCTGTACAAATTATTTTTATATAGATCTAAAAATCCCATGGTTTTGACAGATCGGATCACTGCACATTTAAATCGGCCGTTTACGATGTTCGGGCATAAGTCAGAATTAAGTGTTATGTTGGTTTGTCGGTGGCAAAACCACAAAATTACCTTGCATACGGGGGTATTCCACCGATGAACCGACGTGACAGCTCATACAAACTACTTTCAAATTCATGCCCAAGACGCCATATTTAAAATACGTTAAACACTACCGACATCTACTCATCCAATCGCATCATACCATGAGCAAGGACACGAACCCACGTATAATTTATATTGCCTTGGTATGCGTCTCACCTCGTTTGACAGATCTGATCGCCCGTTTGAAAGTTCGAATCGCTCGTCTGACAATTCGAATTGTGGACAAACGAAATGCTCCTGTGGCATGTCGGTTCGTCGGTGGGTATTCATTGGATGAAAGGGACCGTGAAAGAGGACACTAAAATAGAAAGTTTTATCTTAGTATTCTTCTTTGGTATAATTACACGATTGCGAGACCGGTTATGTTATGAACAAATGCAAAAATTGCGTTCGTTTCGCGTCAATACCACAAACGAAGTGACAGACGACTACCCGCATGAACAAAAACCATTCTTATAGTGGTTTCAACCATTTTTGAACTTTACATTATATACTTACCATAGTTTTTAAAGTTATGAAATGTTTCCAATTTTGATTTTCATTTTGAAGAACCATTATTTACAATTGCAGAACTTTAATTTTTGATATAACTATTGTAATTGAGGTTTTGCTATGCTTTCTTTCAAACCATACGACATAAACTTACACACTTAGAATTTTTTACAGAATTCGGTAAACAAAAACACCGAAATTGATCTGTAAAATGTATATTACAGATTATTCGGTAAAAGTTAGGTATTTTCCATCAATTTGTCACAGACTTACCGAAATACTGTAAATAAAAATAAATGCCGAACAATCTGTAATGTTTTTTACTGAATTATCTGTAACACATGGAAATTTACCATAAATCGGTAATTTCTCACCGAACTTCTGTAAGAACCTTGTGCAGCCATCTTGTCAAATCTGGAAAGCAAAAAAAATCACAAGTGCTTGACGCGCCTAAAAGTATCTGAAAAAGTGCGAAAATGGACAATTTCATGGACAAATTGCATGGACAGGACGAAAGGATAGTCAGTATCTTCCGTAAGTAATATAAAACACTTATTTAATTATGAACTTTTGTTCTAGCCTTCGATAATCTGTTTTTTTTGCCATGCCCAAGTTCCCGGCTACGTTGCTGGCTTGCACCGCCATGTAAACAGCCATATAAAAAATAATGATTTCCGCTCGTGTGTTACGTTTTTTGATTGTACATTTCCACAATGCAATTCACGATTTGCCAAATTTTACACTCTCAAAAGGCACATAATTGAGAAACATCCCTTGCATAATGTTATTAACAGAACACTTGAACATGACTTACGGCATACATTAAACACTGACGAATATCAGGAACAGCAGGAACATGAGCAGAATTTGAGTTCCAGTCCAGCACAAGTAATGCAACTGGAAGAGATTCGAAGGATTATTAATCTTAACGTTTGTCGATTAACAAGCGATGTTAGTCTGCCACAATCCAAAGTCAGAGAAATAATCAAGTTTTGTGATTCAACTATTCAGCATGTTACTGATTACTTGGAGAAACAAGTCTTTAAGTTTCTGGAACTTCATACCATTACGCTTCCTGATAGCGAGCTCATAAGGTTGCGAAACACTTTTCATCTGAACGATATGTTTTCCCAAATCGACTCGTTTACGAAGCAAAACAAATTTTTAGATAAAATGACCGTGCAAACCCCTGCTCCCCGAGACATTCTGTTGAGCCGTCGACAAGATGTCCGTCACATAAATTCGCTCCCTAAGAAGGTTTTGGTTAACGAAACAGCGTCGTACATAAGCATTGTAGATACGCTTAAATTATTATTCAGAGATCCCAGTGCAAGACAGCTTTTGGAAGAGCCAGAATCAGTAGACACTCCTTGTGTTATAGAGTTTAGCTCGTTCAAAACGGGAGAATTGTTCAAAAACAATGAGTATTTCAAAGAAAATCCAAACTGCATTCGTTTGAGCTTATATCAGGATGATGTTGAGCTGTGTAATGCATTAAGCTCAAGGGCTGGAGTTAATAAAATTTGCAACTTCAGCTTTAAAATACAGAATATACCAGAAAAATGGAACAGCTCACCCCGAACAGTGTTTCCATTACTTTTTTGCACCTCCATTGATGCTAAAAAGCATGGATACAAAAAAGTACTCCAACCCTTGATCGATGATTTGAAAAGACTGGAAGGAGGTGTTACAGTGTTCTACGGAAATCAACAATTTGTGATAAAAGCAGTGGTCACCATGTTTTGTGGTGACACATTAGCGGTACACGACGTGTTTGGGCTGTTAGGGCCAAGTGCCAAGTATTTCTGCCGTATTTGCCAGATATCCAGGGCCGAGTTTCATAACAATCCTTCAGGTGAATTCCCCCTTCGAAACAGGCAATGGTATGACAACCAACTTAAAGCAGTCCAAAATGGAGAGGTTTCCTCGAAAGATTGCGGATTGAAGCCTATCGGTTGTGTCCTCAACGAACTTCAAAACTTTCACACATCTGCAAACTATAACCTTGATGGTATGCATGATCTAGCAGAAGGAGTGGTCCCATTGTCAATCCAGTTAGTACTCTCCAATTATTCCAAGCAAAAGGATCTGAAAATTAATGCAACCTATATAAACAATCGTATAAACACATTTGCCTATGGATACACTGATCGCCATAACAAGCCATCAGCAAACTTTACGGAGGAAATGCTGTCCCATCCCAATTTACACAGAATAAAGCAAACATCGGCACAAACTTTATTACTTCTGAGGAGTTTTCCATTTCTCTTTGGTCACAAAATCCCATCTGATTGCCAATTGATGAATATGATCGGGCACTTAATCAACATTGTGAGAATAATTATGTCTACAGTAGTTTCAGAACACCTGCTACTTCAATTACAGGATCACCTAACTTTTTTCGAACAAACCTTTTATACAACATTTAACCGTCGCATAAATAAACTTCACCATCTAAAACACTACGCTCTATGCATAACGAAAAGTGGTGCCATGAAGCAGTATAATTGTTTGCAGTTTGAACAAACTAATAAAGTAGGAAAAGATCAATCTGCAACGTGTAAAAACTTCAAAAACATTTGCCACAGCCTAGCCAAACGGCAATGTGTTAGAATGGTCATCAACATACTGGATAACCCTCTATGCGACAAGCTTACTTTTTCGTCTGGAATGCTTCTTAATCGCGAAGAATGTCTGAGCGAAGTTCATTTGGATCCTTCCGTACAACTCATTTTTGTACCCAAAACGGCGCATTTGAATGGAGTAGAATTCAGGATTAATCTAGTAGTAGGCGTAAAAAAGCATTTAGATGAGTATTACCCTACTTATGGTATCATCCAAGAAATTTTAATCATCGACAACAAACTTCAGCTTCTGTTGCGGTTGTGCAAAACAAAATGTTACAAGGATTTTTACGAAGCATATGAAGTAGAAGTAACAGATGCTTATGAGTTGTTTTCTTCGGAAGAATATTTTACGCACGCAACATTCGCCTTTTGGTCGCCATTCAAATGTTCCAATAAGTACATCTCAAGACGATTTTACAATCAGGATTATTAGAAGTAGGCCATTTCTGCTATAACTTTTAATATACAACTAGTATCTTATAACCGCTTATCTATTTCAGAAAGAGAAGAAATTGACGACTTGGATACCTTCCTACAACTTGATGACAATGACTTTACAAGACTGAAGCTAACTACTAAAATGATTAAAATTATTCAACGTGTGCAACGGGAGTACGATCAAGCAGGTGCGCAGGTTGAAGACGATCCACTCGGACTACACCCTGGTACAGGAGTCAATTCAACTATCCAAGTAATTCACCAAACAATACAGCATACAACTACCTCCGCGTCCTGTTCTACAACTACTCAACTGTCATCTTCTGCAACTGATCCGAACGACAATCCATACCAAGAAATTAACTTGGATGAGGTAAGCTTGATTATTCATACCTTATTGTAATTGAAAATTAACTGAATAATTAATCTTTTTAGATCATCAATATCGACCGTGTGTTTGAGAAAACTGAGGAAGGCATTGCAGTCATGGAAGCACTGAAAGAGACAACAAAACCAAATGAGACAATCATCAGAAAAGTTGGTAATATACTATGTGACTGCCTGAAGTCACTGTACGGCTGGTAAGCATTATAACGTCTATGGGCCCTATTATGTAAGCCAAGTCGAGCGTCATTTTTGTCACTAATCTATCTTGGTATCCGTTCTGTAATATCAAAGTAGACCAGTGACCAAAAGTGACGGTCGTCTTGACTTACATACACAACCCACCATAAGTATCGAATCACTTCAAAAGCAGTTGAATATTGCAGCACCTTGAAATGTTTGGACTCATCTAATATATATTAAGTGATGCAGGATAATTCCAACTTTTTTGAGATGCTGCAATATTCACTTTGAGTGTTGAAATACTTTTCGAAGCGATTCCATACTTATGGTGGTAAGTATAATAGGGTCCTATGTAAAAGAAAACTAAGGTTAGCACTTAATCATGAATACATCCCGATCAACATACAATTACTTCTGACACAACAACTTGCAACAGTTGAAAAAACAAACTAAGGCGTACTAGTTCTGGAAATTACACCAGCTTTGACGGTATACACACATTGTGATACAAGAACATTTAAATCTTCTACGCTGTAATTGGTTCACGCCATAGCTGATGCTCTAATTTTGTCAGATTACGTTGAATGCAACACTTGAATAAAGTACAATCCATACTGCTATACTGTTACTTATAATAACATGAACTGTAATTCTCATTTCAGCCGCCCGTGCAACTTTTATAAAAACCAGATTGCAGTTTCACTTGTCCAATCATACCCGATTACGGCTGCTGAGTCAACTGAAACGCCACAGGTGAGGGATTGAAGTCTGATATTGTATGGTTTCACTTATCGCAGATCAATTGTAGGCATTGTGGTTCCACCCACATGCTAGGGGAACCAATCGGCATGCAGGACGCATTCATTATAGAATGGAGTACCTCTCCCGAAAATCTGAAGAACGCGTAACCAAGCGCCGACGAATCGCAGACCAGGGAGAAGATGTCCAGCTCATTTCTCCAGCAGCACCTGAAGATATCGATAAAGCTGTTAGTTATTTCAAAATACATATTGTAAGGCTATGTTTATTAATATTTTTAATTATGATTCCAGGAAAGCGAGTTGAAATTCATTATTCCAAACTCTCAGATGAAATCCAGAGTGATCGAGTTATGGAATGCAACGTTCAAGATGCGACATTAGGGTGTTTCATTTTGAAAAAAGTGATGAATTTTTGATAGGCCACCCTCCAGTTCGATTCATAGCCCCAAAATATGAACCTGTGCAAAAAATGGTAAAGATTGATGAAGGTTTAGAGGTCGCGCCAATGATTTGGATTTTGTATGGAGATTTTGGTGAATTAGTATGGGAAATTATTGATTTTCGTTTACATTGCTCTAACTTTGGTTGTAGTTGTCCAAACGTTGAAAAAAAAAAATATGTGGTTGTCATGACAATGATCAACAAGCCTGTTGTTGTTGCGATGAAATTGGCGTTGTTGCCTTGAACATATTCATCTGTCAATTTACCCTATTTTGCCATTTTTCACATTTTTATAATTCTTGATACGCTGCAAAACTGAGCGTAGCAACTGTAGGCTTTTTGTTTATTGCCATAGCAATAACATACTAAATTTTTTCGACATTTGGACAAGTAGAAGCAAAGTTATAGCGATATAAGCGATTTTTTAAATTCTTCCATAGTAATTCCCATACAAATTTCAAATCATTGGCGCGACCTCTAAACCTTCATCAATCTTTACCAATTTTTGCACAGGTTCATATTTTGGGGCTATGAATCGAACTGGAGGGTGGCCCATCAGAAATTCATCACTTTTTTCAGAATGAAGCACCCTAATGCGACATCAATACCGTATCGAAAACCAGTTCATCGGGTATGCGGCAGATTTTCCGGTTATAACCGCCTACAATGGAGAATTGGTAAATATTCGGAAAGCTTTACTATAATTTATTAGCATTTTATATTGATGAATAATTTTGATGTTTTTTTTCGTTGTACAGCTAACCATGGATTTTAAGATTATTCATCAGAAAGCAGCAGCGTTTCTGGACAAATGGGATATTTTGGAACCAAAGATACTTGTTCGTTATCACAACCTTTTCAAGGAATTGAAAAACGGTATGCAAATTGTTTGTTTATCTTGATAAATGTCGTAATTTGTTTTCTATGACTACTAGATTTTGTGCGAGCTCTTGCAATTGTTCGATGCAAGAATCCGTCACGTGGCTCAAAACGTATTAAAGAAAACGCGCCAACCAGCAGAAATCCTCTGCATGGAATTATTGAGTGGATCGATGTGAGTATTGAATATTGTGAAAACTAAGAAAAAACTAAGAATAAACATGATCCATGATATTTTTGCAGGTCGATGATGATTTCCCAACGGACAACAAAACAACGCCCGTACTGTTCGTTCGCGGTGTGGAATTCGAGGACTCAATCGATTGTGCTGTTGTGTGGAACAATATTATCATCCCAATTCAAAAGAGTATCAAAAGCTCTTTTGATGTATTCGTGCAGTCGTAAAATTTGAACAGATTTCTGTAAAAAAATCTAAGTGTGTACAGTTTTAAGAATGGTTAGGCTATATTCGGCTATGATTCGATTTTTTAGTGATGCAAAGGAAAAACAATATAAGTTTAACAATATTTATTACAAAACATCATAGAAAATACATTAACATCTAATCTGTTTGCAATGAATACTTAAGCTTACAAAAGTAAATTTCATTATTACAGTGGATTTGAATGTATTTATGAATGGTTTCGTCAAGTTTTATCATATACATAATATCATTTGAGCATGATTTTTCAAAAATGTCTTCTTCAATAGATACAGCGTCGATACCTTTAAACAAAAAGTAGTCCCAAGTAACAATTTCCAGTTGAAGAAACGCTTTCGTTTTGATATTGTTCAGCTGCATGTTGAATAATAATTGCACAATGTGTTCACCACAACTTTTATAAAACCCTTGTTTACACTGGTTTGGAGAACCTATACAACTGCAACACAAAGGTGTTGTCTAACGTATTCAGTAAAACGTTTATCCAAAATCAATTTCTTGTTGAAGAAACGCTTCCATTGTGATTTTATTCAACTGCATGCTGAATAATAACTGTACAATTTGTTTATTACAACTTCTGTAAAACTCTTGTTTACACTGGTTTGGAGAACCTGTTCAACTACAGCATTATATGTATACGCGGTATAGGAGTAGAAGCAACTTTTATATAACGTTTATAGATACATATTTAAACTCAAGCTTTATTATTTTGGTGAAAGCTCTTATACAACGTTTGTAGACACTTCTTGACAGCTGCTTTAAAATTTAGTAGATAGTAAACCTGAGAGGCGTTTGTTGCACTCTTTTATGACTCCTAAATAATCATTGTACAGCAAGCGGTGAAAAGCGTTTATAGCACTTTTTAATGACTCCTTAATAACCGTTGTGTAAGTACTCACAATATTCACAGATTAAAATAAGTTTAACAATTGTCGTGGTACGCCAAAATAATTGCTTGTACAGTTTTTATTAATTTAATTTATTTGTGCACATTGAAAAAATATGTAATTATGCCATAATTCACATTCTGTGATCATGGAGGAAGTAGTAACAAGCATCTGTTTAATCTTTGATTGATATTCTTTCAATTAATCTCTCTAATCATTAATTGAGAGAATTTATCTAGAAATGTTATCGTTGATTATATGATATATGTCTTAAATTAATGTTTGCATTTATTAATAACACCTACTCCACCAAGGGTTTCTCGAAGCAAGATTCGAACTCATGATCCCGGATTGCCAGCCGCTTCTGTTTCCATCTGCTCTATTCTTGAATACATATTTAGATCATATGAGAGAAGTATATGAAGCTCATCTTGAGTGACTTCTCTTGCAGTCGAATAATCATTGCCTTATGGTCATATAAACGTGCCTAACACTTGTGCTATTTTTAGCAACAAAATTGTGGTTGGTGGTTGGTCGAACGTAAACAATCATTTAAGAGTGCTTCAAGCAACTTTTGAAGCTTTTAACCAAATGGCAATACAACTACATTCTTGTACAACTCTGGAAGCTATTATTCAACGTTTGATCAACTCAGGTGTTTTATAAGAGCTCCCAATGGTTTGTTTTGATGCGTTTATTCCACATCCTATATGGCTCCTGTCAAACAGTTTAACCGAACGTAAACAATCATTTAAGAGTGCTCCAAGCAGCTTTTGAAGCTTTTAACCAAATGGCAATACAACTACATTCTTGTACAACTCTGGAAGCTATTATTCAACGTTTGATAAACTCAGGTGTTGTATAAGAGCTCCCAATGGTTTGTTTTGATGCGTTTATTCCACATCCTATATGGCTCCTGTCAAACAGTTTAACCGAACGTAAACAATCATTTAAGAGTGCTCCAAGCAGCTTTTGAAGCTTTTAACCAAATGGCAATACAACTACATTCTTGTACAACTCTGGAAGCTATTATTCAACGTTTGATAAACTCAGGTGTTGTATAAGAGCTCCCAATGGTTTGTTTTGATGCGTATATTCCACATCCTATATGGCTCCTGTCAAACAGTTCAACCGAACGTAAACAATCATTTAAGAGTGCTCCAAGCAGCTTTTGAAGCTTTTAACCAAATGGCAATACAACTACATTCTTGTACAACTCTGGAAGCTATTATTCAACGTTTGATCAACTCAGGTGTTTTATAAGAGCTCCCAATGGTTTGTTTTGATGCGTTTATTTCACGTTCTATATAGCTCTTGTCAATCAGTTTAACAAAGGTGCTATAAAAGTTATCGTAGGTCTTATAAAGCATATAGTTAAACCGAACGTAAACAATCATTTAAGAGTGCTCCAAGCAGCTTTTGAAGCTTTTAACCAAATGGCAATACAACTACATTCTTGTACAACTCTGGAAGCTATTATTCAACGTTTGATCAACTCAGGTGTTTTATAAGAGCTCCCAATGGTTTGTTTTGATGCGTTTATTTCACGTTCTATATAGCTCTTGTCAATCAGTTTAACAAAGGTGCTATAAAAGTTATCGTAGGTCTTATAAAGCATATAGTTAAACCGAACGTAAACAATCATTTAAGAGTGCTCCAAGCAGCTTTTGAAGCTTTTAACCAAATGGCAATACAACTACATTCTTGTACAACTCTGGAAGCTATTATTCAACGTTTGATCAACTCAGGTGTTTTATAAGAGCTCCCAATGGTTTGTTTTGATGCGTTTATTTCACGTTCTATATAGCTCTTGTCAATCAGTTTAACAAAGGTGCTATAAAAGTTATCGTAGGTCTTATAAAGCATATAGTTAAACCGAACGTAAACAATCATTTAAGAGTGCTCCAAGCAGCTTTTGAAGCTTTTAACCAAATGGCAATACAACTACATTCTTGTACAACTCTGGAAGCTATTATTCAACGTTTGATCAACTCGGGTGTTTTATAAGAGCTCCTAATGGTTTGTTTTGATGCGTTTATTCCACATCCTATATGGCTCCTGTCAAACAGTTTAACCGAACGTAAACAATCATTTAAGAGTGCTCCAAGCAGCTTTTGAAGCTTTTAACCAAATGGCAATACAACTACATTCTTGTACAACTCTGGAAGCTATTATTCAACGTTTGATAAACTCAGGTGTTGTATAAGAGCTCCCAATGGTTTGTTTTGATGCGTTTATTCCACATCCTATATGGCTCCTGTCAAACAGTTCAACCGAACGTAAACAATCATTTAAGAGTGCTCCAAGCAGCTTTTGAAGCTTTTAACCAAATGGCAATACAACTACATTCTTGTACAACTCTGGAAGCTATTATTCAACGTTTGATCAACTCAGGTGTTTTATAAGAGCTCCCAATGGTTTGTTTTGATGCGTTTATTTCACGTTCTATATAGCTCTTGTCAATCAGTTTAACAAAGGTGCTATAAAAGTTATCGTAGGTCTTATAAAGCATATAGTTAAACCGAACGTAAACAATCATTTAAGAGTGCTCCAAGCAGCTTTTGAAGCGTTTAACCAAAAAGGCAATACAACTACATTCTTGTACAACTCTGGAAGCTATTATTCAACGTTTGATCAACTCAGGTGTTGTATAAGAGCTCTCAATTGTTTGTTGGGATATGTCTTAAATTAATGTTTGCATTTATTAATAACACCCATATATAATTTACCTC